AAATTACTGAAGGTCGTTCAAAGACCAAGCTATGTTTCTATCAATTCAGTAAGTGCTTGCACTGACCTAAAAAATTAAGAAAAATAGAAAACACTATCTGTCGTTTACTATTTTCCCGTTCGTCGTTTCAATGCAGTGTTCAAGACATATTTCGATTTCCATGATATAAAAATTGCTCTTCAGCGGAAAAATAAACAAATCTTCTTTGGGCACCTAAAGTTGGGATGTGGAAAGTTCGTCACTTTGGTCGCCTAAAACTTCCGAACCACTTAACTTTCGATTTAGAAAAAAAATAACGGTCGTTCAGAATCATTTAAAGGGTGCACTGTTATATTAAGGAGTCTGAAGTCAATGTAGTTTAATTTTCTGCTTTTCATTAGTTTCGTTTAGATCTTATCTTGGGAAATTCCGCCTTCTATGACGCCATTGTAAACAAGTGAGGCTTCCGTTCACATGCAGTGCGCACTTAATCCACAATGACTTGACGATCGATTCTTTTGAGTCCGTTCATTGAACAGGGTACCCAGCTAGTTTAATATAATATTATTATAGCCACTTCACTTTTCATCCAAATGACGTGAGAACGATTCTCACACGGGAAGAGCCCTATCGTGCGGTCAAAAATTCGTGGCGCAAGTTATCCTCAAATATCTCTTTAACGGGTGAATCAATGTCACCCATACTTTGCACACCAGTTTGTATCAATTTGTCTTAAATTAATCACATTTTACCACAACAACTGAGGCTCAATTAAAAAACTTTTCTTTATAAATTTATATAAAACAATATAAATCTTCATCACGCTGAAAATGGGATTGTTCACAGCACTTCCCACTTCTTGTACACATTGTGTATACGCAAATGGGTTACGTCACAGCTCGCCATTGACACTTTTTAGTTACAAAACTTCTTACAAGAAATTAATTTAAAAGTGAACACATTTTTTTGCACTAATGGTTCCCTATGTTCAATAAGCATAATGTTGCGATTAGAAAAAAATGACAGACTTACTTTTAAAAGTGATATTGCCCGAGCCATAAACTTTTGAAAATAGGTCGAAACCATCGACTGGGATTTTTTATTAATATTTATTAGGCTTAAGGAATTTTCTAGAATACAGTGTGCACGAGTTTGAAAAAATATTCACCTGTTAAGACAAATTGATAGAAGTCATTGTGCAAAAGTTGGAGAATCTGTGTATGACAGTTAAGAAGATATTTGACAATAAGTTGCGCCATGCATTTTTGACCGCACTATAGATCCAAACTCAGTGTGGCATTCTTGAACTTGGATTGTTTAAAGAGTTTTTAATTTTCTTCAAAATGATAGATATTATGATCAGCCTTTACGGAAATGAAAGTTAAGTCTGAACTCCCGCCTCTTAAATAAGCCTACGGCGTGGTTAAGGGGGTTTCCCTCTTAACGCACGGAGCCCAGGCTGTTTTCCTTGTTTGGAAAACCTTTATTCGTTTCCGAAATTTTACCCAATTTTTCAAACCTTCTCTTCCATCATTGTGTGGGTAGAAGTTCGTGTTCTCTCGAAGTAATACAATACTTTTGTTGACTTGAGAAGTGTGTGAAAGATTATAAATCAGGCGCGTATTGCGTTGAAACAATTTGCCTGTACATATGCCAATGGCGGAGGCTTAGTAGGGTATATTAAACTAATTAGAGTGAGTCTTTTCTTTTGTAATTCTCACAAAAACTTCTATTTTCGAGAAAAATGAAATATATGTGTATGTCTGTGTACAAGAGCGAATGTGCGTGTGTGTGTATCTATCTGTGTGTGTTTGTGTATGTGTGTGTGTGTGTGTGT